CCTCCCCCGCCTCCCTCTTTTTTTTTGGTACTGGGATTAAATCCAGGGCCTCACAGATGCTGAGCACATGCTGTACCACTGAGCCACACCCCCACCTCTGGGTTCCTCTTCAAATGAGTGTGGGGAGGGGGCATTTCCAATTTTGTCTTGGTAGTAAACATTGTTTGCATACATGAAAGTTCTTGATTTTTGTACTTTAATTTTTGGTGTAGTCAATTTATAACATCCTATTGTTTTCTACAACAGTTATGCTCTGCTTCCTGAGTATATATAATCTAATCAGCAGCAAACAGAAATTATCTCATCCATTTCAAGCATATGCCTTTAATTGTTTTCATTCATCACCCCAAAAGTGATAAATAGCAGCAGTAGAACTAGACATTCTGGGCTTTTTCCTAGACTTTAATGAGATTACTTCTTTTTGTTTGTTTGTGGTGCTAGGCAAACACTGTACCACTGAGCAACACCCCCAGCTCTGAGGGCAACACTTCAAATACCTCTCCGTAATGCGGAGGGCTGACTTTACCTTGAAGTATTCAATCATTTCAGAACATAGTCATATTGTTCATACTTTTTTCCCGAAAAATGATGTTGAATTATCTAAACTTCTTTTTAACATTGGAAGAATTGACATAATTTATACGGGCTTTGCTTTTAAATACTCACATAATAAATAGCCAATGGCCATCTGTGTGTGATCATCCTAGCCTTCCAGAAATAACCCACTCTTCTCCTTGGTCCTCCTGATGTTTGCTAACACTGTGCGCAGTATTTTCAAAATGAGTTTGTCCTTCTTGAGTAATCACTGATGTTTTAGTCACCAGTTAATTGCAGGTGGTGTGAATTGGGGGGAAGGCAGACTTCCTTTCAAGCTAGCAAATATTTCATTATGAAGGAAAGTGGAAAGTACAACATATTCCAGCTTTTGTTACCCAAAGGTGTTCTGGTTTGAAGAGTAAGTCACTGGTCATGCTACTTAAACATCGCAGCACTTGACATTAGTTTACACCATTTTTTGTCTCTCCTACTAGAACATGACTTTCAATGAGGACAGGACACTTTCTGTGCATCTGTTACTTTCAAAGCATACAGCAATTTCTGGCACATATTGATAACTCAACATGAGTTTATTGAATTAAATAAATGAATAGAAAAAGGCAAGGCTTTTAGCAAGTTTGTAGCAGTCTCTGAATTTCTCCCATTTTTTATAATTCTGAAAATGTGGTACACTTTGTAAGTATAAATTACAATCGTTAGCTTTCCATTGTGGAGTTTGTTCACTCCACCAATATCTGTGCTTCCTTTGAATTCTCATATCCTAGGCCTTCACTGGGTTTTCATTGTTGAAATCTGCCCTTTACCAGACCTTTCAGTGAGGTTTTTGGATAATCACCTCTCAGTTTTTAAATATCTGAGCACATGCATCTCTGCTTCCTTCTCATCAGTAATTCTACTGGGTACAATGGTCTTGATTTCTTCCACAACTCAAAGACATTATTGACTACTTCCTGATGTACATTGTTGCTGAAGACAAATCTGCTTTCAAGATAACTGCCATTTCATTGCAGGTGAGGTGTTCTGTCTTCTCAGAGGTTTTGCAATCATGTCTTTACCTACAGGGACATTCACTGTGACCTCTTGGTGTAAATCTGTCATTTATCTCATGTGGCACTTACTGCACACATTCAAGCACAGAATGGGTCTTTCCTTGATTCTAGAGAATTCTCAGCCACCATATCCTCAAGCTACTGTGTGTCGTAACATCTCTCTTAGTTTCTTCTCATTGGATCCTTCTTAAATTGCAGCCTGTCTATCCTGTATCTTTTATCTTTTCTTGCCCATTTAAAAACAATCTCTCTGTGGAATTATTGCAGAGAATTTCTTAGTATCATCTTGCAGGTGACTAATTGTCTCTGCACTTGCATCTATCTAGGATCCAATCAGCTTATTTATTAATCAGCTTTCCAATTGCTGGACACACTATCTGACACCACAACTTAAAGAAGGGGAAGTTTAGTTTGGCTTACATTTTGAAGGGATTCAGTCCATGGTAGGCAGGCTCCAAGGTAGAAACATCATGGCAGAGGGTATGGAAGATCAAAAGTGCTTCGTTCAAGGTGCTTGGGAAGCGCTGCTAGGGAACAGTGCCAATGAGGACAGAGGGAGGGACTAGATAGAGACCATGGGGCTGTGTCTTGATGATCCACTCAGAAGTGTGGTTCACTAAGCCCTGGGGTTCATCCCAAAGCCAATCAAGGTGAACTGCTACCCTAATGCCCACAGCTTTCATAATTTTTTCTTGTCTCAATTAGATTTTCCAAATGTCATCACAGATCCTAAATATAGTAATTACCAATTTAAATTTTGCCCTCCAATTTGCATTTGTGAAGGTGAATTCACTTTTCCTCCTACTGAGACTTACTGTTCTTGTTGATAATTTTTCTGGAAGAATGTTTTGCAGACTTACCTTGACAGGGAATGTATGCTCTTTTCCCTCTTACCCCTCAACATCTAGCCATTTTATGTCATGTCCACACATTCACCCCAGATTCAGTCTTTCTGAGTTGCACTGGGTGGCTGGGTGGCAGTGACACTGAAGATCTTACACTGTAGACGTGACCTAGGTTGGTCTGCTCTGTCCTGCCGTCAGATGTATGCTGCTTTGTGACTGCCATATCCCATGGGACTCAACACAGATATTGTCACTCAACTCTTACTGGTAGGTAAGTTGCACTGCAGGCCCATGTCCCTGGAAGTGAGTCCTCTATTAATGGGGCACACTGGTTCATTTTACCATATAGTGGGGCTGACTCCCTCTGCCCATGCACTTTGCCTTGCTGCCTCATCCCATCCACCAACCTTACCTATGCTTTAAAAAATATATTTGACCTTATTTTTCTATTTGTAAATACAGGAAAACCTCAAGTTTCAAATTCACACCTTATACTTCTTCAGCAACAAAGTCTAACATCAAAACAAAGTCTTCCACACTTGGAGCTACTTAAATGTTTTAATTATGATGTAATTAAATCTACATTGAGCCTCTCCTGTCCAATGTCCTTCTGTGATATTGCTATAGCCTTTACTCCTATCCCTTTTCAACTGTGGACTTCAGCTCTCAACTCATTTGTTTCCAGAAGCATTTGGCATAGGTAACATCTCATCCTGCTTAATTAATAGATTCACCGAATATCTGTTATGCTCACGAAGCTGGGGAGACAAGTGTCTAGAGATATTCCAGAGCGAGGGACTACTAAAATCAGATATTATAATGTGAGATAAACAATTGGAAAATATTTCAAGCCGAGGAAAGCATAGAGCAAGACCTATTAGTTAGGTTGGACCTTGTAGTGCCAGTATCACAGTATACCACAGATTGGGTACTTTATAAAAAAATACAAATTTGTGTGGCTTTCCATTCTGAAGGTTGGCAATTCCACGCTCTATGGGCGTTATGTGGTGAGGACTGTCCTGCTGTATCTTTCATGCTGTGCATGAAAAGAAAGCATGCACAGAGTGGTGCTTTTATAAGAAACCCACTTCTTCCTCAATAACCAAAACCCTCACCACCCAAGCACCTCCCATGTCTCTGTCACCTAACACTTGCATTGGGGATTAAGCTTCCAATAGTTGAACTTTGCGGGGGTACAAACTGTAGCAGTTGAGAAACGGTATGACATGAAAGGACTAAAAGTATTTTAGTCTGGTTGGAGGCTGGAATTCAAGACAGGTTAAAGCAAGAAACGTAGCTCAAGATGTAAGGGAAGAACCAGGTCACTTGTTTCAGCCACAGTAAAGACTAGGGATAATATTTTGAGAGCACATAGCTTAGTGTATGTCTCCACTAAAATATTTTAAACAGGAAATTCAGATTAGCAGGTGTGTATGTTAGAAAAAAAATTTGTGTTAATGGGAGAGCACAATATGTGTGCAAAGCCAGTCTTGGGATTTGAGAACAATTAGTTGGTTATTAAGGCAATTCATGAGGGTTCTGAATAAGAACTTGAGTACAAGCTAAGTTTGGCTTTGCAGACTATACATTTTAAGGTATTGTGAGACACCCACCTGGAAATGTTCAGAATGTCTTTGGGTGCTCAGGATGGAAATCCTAGTTTAGGAAAAAAGAAGTAAATATTTCGTCATGATTTTGAATTTAGGTATCACAGATGAACTTAAGTTTTTGGATCCATGAAATAGCATGTAAGTTCATACATATGAATCTGCAGACTAACTTAATTTCACTCCTCTCTCGGTCCTCACTGCCCCTCACTCCCTGCAAATGTTAAATATGGTGGCTCTCGCGATGGCTGGGACCTGAAATATCACCCCAAAGTCGTGTGTGTTTGGAAGGCGACTTGTGGAAGGGAGCAGTGCACTCATTGGCAAATTCAACTGCTGGTGAGTTTAGCAGGTGAATGTGCTTGTAGGAGGCCAGGCCTGGTCAGAAGAGGCAGGACACTGGGGCCGTGGCCCGGAAGGATGTCCTCCCCCTCCCTGGCTCCTCCCATCTTTTTCTGCTTCCTCGCTGCCATGATATATTGATTTATTCTGCTGTGCCCCTCTGCCGTGCAGTTTCTTGCTTGGAGCCAGCTGACCACGCACCGTAATTGTGAGCAAATCAACCTCTCCTTCTTTAAGTTGTGGTATTGGGTATCTTGTCCCAGTGACAAGAAAAGTGACTAAGACGCTATTATTTTCTAAGTATCCTCATACACCATGCACAGGACAGACACAAAAAATATTTTATTATTCATTTTATTTTCATATAAATTAACATCCTAAAAAAATTGAAATAGAAACACTACATACAGTATTGCACAGAGCGATTTTTGTTAAATGCCCTATTACTTCATTGAGGAATGGTAATATACACATTGATGGGACTGAGGGGACAGGAAAACTACAAAACAGAAGAAAACCACTACTGTTTCTGTGCACTTAAATTACAAACTGAAAGGTAAGATACCATACTTTACATAAATACAAACATAGTTATGATTTAGAACATTGTTTTACCGTTTAAAAATCGCTTTCCATAATTGGTTTGCAAAAGCAATCGATTTTCCCCTTTTTCTACAACCATAACTCTCAACTGATATCATTAATAGAAATAATAATAAAAGCAACTATTAATGTTAGAAATAAACATCAAAATGTATCATGAGCTGATTTTAAAATACTCTCAGAATGAGTGGAAGATTCATGTATTTTTCCTCAAAGTAAAATAAAATCCTATCTTGACTTCTTTTGGTAATGAATCATTACATTCCCACTTTCTAGCTTTAATCACCTGCTGTAACTCATCATGATAACCTCAATCATGTCAAAATAAACAAGGAAGTGTTTTTCCGTAATAGGTTCTACATGGATCCAGTGAGTACCCCAGTTTTTCTTGTTTTTTTTTTTTTAAATGAAAGTCATGTTTGGCAATTGTATCAGCATCATTTATTTAAATTCTTTCAAACTACCGAGTGACAATTTCCTTGCAAAGTGTAAAGTAAAAGATAAGGAGAGACATACCTTTGATTTAATTCACCTCTGTGGCAATAAGCTTTTTATAGGCTCTCATTAAACTTAAACCTCTGATTCTGTCTATATTAAATAACTTATAGGAAACTATTTCTTCTTTTGCTATGTGTTTTTCTATTCATTATCTGACTTGAGTTAAAAAATGATAATCTTCTTTCACAAATATATAGCTATGGAGAGCAACCCAAGAGTTGGGAAAGCACTGATTATGATATATAAATGGTACTTAGATTTTTAAAATAGAAAATTTATAAGGTAGACATGAAACAGATACAAACAATTCACTGAAACTACGACTTCTCCATGAATCTGGATGCAGTGACGTGGAGTGTTGGCTAACAGTACAGAGCAGTGTTTCCGCAGTGAGAAGTCTCACAGAGATACTAGAGGCTGACACGGAGCATGCGCAGAGCCAGTGCAGACCCTGGGGCTTGCACACGCTGTTTGGGGCTATCAATGTGATGCCATAAACAATTACAAAAAGAAAAGGTCTGTAATTCTCCACTGGTCTCCACCGATCAATAGACACTAATTCAACAATTGGTGAACTGTCTAGAAAACACAAAGGTTATGCAGGAGGCTAAGAGGGAAAACCATCAGGATGATGTAGTTTCCCTCCCTCCCCTCAGGTCAGTTGAATTTTGTGGAAGTTGTTCCTCATTTTCATCCTTCTGTTCCTGGTTCAGGTTTTCATGCTTATCTTTGCTTTCTGAAAATAAACATGTCAGATAACAGTTGTAGTGAGAAAGAAAACGTTTTTTTTGAAAGTATGGAGTTTCATCAAATGAGATCTTTTTGTCAAATTCTTTGGGAAAAGATTAAAGACCCACCCTATCCATGAAGTAAAAAAATATAAGTAGGACCTGCTTTATCTTTTGAATTTTACCAAGACAAATTACCAAATATTTTTGAGGACAAAACTTTTTAAATTTAATTCCTGACTGATGTGAAGGAGTGCTAAAAGATCTTTCTCATTCTTGCTCCTACATACAAACTTAGACACATGAAAACATAATCAGTTCATTTCATGGTTTATGTGCTTTAATTCCCTTGAAGTCTTATAATAACATGACTGAGGTTAACTAATAACTAATAACTATTCCTCCTCATTAAATACAGCTTTATGATTGAACTTTAATCTGATTAAAACTATCATTAGATAAAATTAATTTTGATACAGAAAAACTGAAGGGAAAATAAGATTTTAAATGAATATATAATTCCTACCTTTCTCTACGTAGGGCTATTTAATTGTATTTCAATTTGGGTTAACTTGATGTCTTTTCCATTCAGGCTACATTACAGCAATACAATTAAAGATGTTCCTGTTCGAAGGCTATGTTAACTTTTTATTTAAAACAGCACCATTTACTGGTGGTCCCTTCAAAACATGCCACCAGACATCTACAGTATTGCAAAGAAATTGTTGTTTTAACCCAGCTCTTCTCTGCAAGGGTGCACAATCTGACATTTTACTTTACTTATTTATTTTTTGGTTTTTTGAGACAGGGTCTCACTACATAGTTGAAACTGACCTGGAACTCACTATGTAGCCCAGGCTGGTCTCGAAATCACGGCGATCCTCTTGCCTCAGCCTCCTGAGTGCTGGGATTATAAGTGTGCGCCACCACGCTTGGCTGGCATTTTACTTTAAAGGAGGAAGTGAGCAAAGAGGAAACAGGCTCCCTTGTTGATCTCAACCTAGGGACCACCTTTGTAGAACCATCTGATCAGGCCCAAGCACCCCTGGCAACGCACAACATCGTATGATGCAGTTCCCATTGTGTTTTAGATCCCAATGCAGCGAATACCACAGCATAGTCGCTGTGAGGTGCAGCCTCGGGTTGTGATCTGTGTGCAATGAACAAGGCATAAGACGATCTCTTGTCTCCAGCAGTGCACACACACATGCGTGCTTCCTATATTAATACTCTGAAGTTTTGAACACTGCATATTGAGATTCTCTTAACTTTCTGAGCCTGATTACAGGCATAAAGAAGAGGAGGCGCTTGAAATTAGAAGCTTATCATTGGTCAAAATTTAAGAGGGAAATTACTGAACTTGTGCATACTGTGAAGACAAGGTTCAAAGACAAGCGAAATTACAAGTGAAAAAGAAAATGGAACACTTACAATTCCAGAGTCATGCCTTGGCTTTATTTTATAAAGCGATTTTCCTTTTTTCTGCCTACACACTTCTTCAGCTTCTTTTACTCTGAGTAGGAAGAAGAACATGGATTTAAACAGAAACATAGATCGTTGGGATGCACCCCACTAAAGATCCGAGTTCCCGGAGAAGCATCATACGGTATCTGACACTGACACAGAACACAGACTGTGAGGTCTTCAACCTCTGGAGGGAGTTGACTCGATTATATACCCAGGATTGGTACCATTATATAAATCAGAAATATTAACATATTGCCAGAACCATTAACACAATGAAAGAGTATCATATAAAATTTATATGCTTATTTAAAATTATTTCAGACTCACTTTCTACACTACACTATGCATAAAAGTCACTTGTAATGAATTCTTGGGCATTGTCTAAAACTTGAGATTCATCAAACATGGGAACCAATCATTATTTAATCGATAACAGAAAAGAACAAGCAATAATAACATTTCTAGGATTTCTTTTCTACATAGTTCAAGGACAATAGCATTGGATTCACCAGAGGTATAGCTGGAGAGGAAGTTGTCTGGAGATAGGTCCTATATTATTTGACATTGATGATGCCCTAACAACTTTGGAGCTCCATGCTCCCTCAAACAACAAAAGGGCTCCACTACATGTAAAGTATGATATTATTACTCACACTTGTTGCAAAGACTAAATGCAATTTCATTTTAAAATTTCTTCATAGATTGAAAAGTACTACTTACAAAGCTATCTTTGCTACAATTAAACAAATAGCAAGAAATCTTGTAACCTGGGACTCTCTTACAAAAAGAGTGCTGCAAGAAGGCAAATAACCTGGCAGGTTAATTTGTTTTTTAATTCTTGTGATTCCCGCCCCCAGGAATTGAAAAATGAAGCATTTCTGGAAAAGCTAAACAGGCTGTGGTTTGATACTATGAAAATACATTTCATATAGATTTCCCAGTCCAATTTTCTGAGATAAACTATAAATATACTTCTTGAGTTTGTAGCAAATGATCTAATAATGGAATTCATCTTCTCTACGACTGACTCAACCCCTCATCTTAAACAATAGAGTGAAACAATCCAGGTTAGCAGCTCAAGATTGATGTCATAGTTTATGTTAAAGCATGACAAATGAACATAATTCCTTTTCAATGTAAAATGCCTGCGGAGTTGATATTGTTAGTAATTCCAGAAAATGACAATTTAGAAGATACTTCATTGTTACCATTTTTATTACTTTCTGTTCAAGCCATAAATTGCCTTTAATCCTTCCTATAAACATCTAAGACAAAAACATTTTCTTTATAACAAACGGAGGATTTCAGAGTCCCCGTCTTCCTCTGAAATAGCTACCAGTAAATTTAAGCTGAAGTATTTGGATAGGGAATTAAGGAAACTTTTTTTCAGCACTTACCAAAATCCAGTAGATCCTCTCTTAAATTTACTTGAAGCTCTTTAAAGCATTTTGTAGCATTAAAAAAATAAATGTACTTCACAAGTATTTAGATCCTCTAAAGTGCCACAGTTTTGTCCCTATCCTATTTGTTCTGTTCTCAAAACACATTTTTGTAAGAATCACAGGAAGCTGATTCTAATACAAACATATTTCATTTTACACACAAGTTAATCCAGTCATTTCTTGTGGCAGACACCGCAAACTGAGGAGAATGTGCGTCAAGGGGCCTCACAAGACCTTCTGGCTCATCCATTCATTTGACAAGCATTTAGAGAGCCTGATTCCAGATCTAGGCCTTGGGTGCAGCTCAGTTATATAAGGACAATTAAACTCAAAGTCTAGTAGGAAAGAGAGACACAAGCAAGAAACGGACAATGTACTAAAGAAATCACCAAAATCTGCGTAAGGAGTGACTCGCCTGGATGAGGTTCCTGGAGGTGGTGGGCAGGAGATACGTGTGCCTTTCTGGGTTTGCTGATAGCTGAGCCAAATGAGAAATATTGATTGTTCATACTTAGCTTGGAAAGCAAAAATGACACCAAGGGTGAAAGAAAAGAAATATGAAGTCCCGAAGAACATACGCAAAAGTTGACCAGTGTCAAGGACGCCTACTGAGCTTCTTGAACTGTGAACAGCTCTTCCTTTGGAAGCCATATGAGCCCCATACTACTGACTGGAGGCAAAAGCTCATATTGGCTGGCTGGTTTCTGTCTCGGATTCTTTTTTTTTTCTCATTGAGTTTATTGGTACTTTTTAGGCATACAGTACAGTTACTTTCATCACTGGGATCTTGCACTGTCTCAGATTCTTATGTGTCTGATGAAGGTGAGTGAGATACCTCTCCCTAAACACCCTAGATACGCATCTGTAAGTAATTTCAGGGGCCGAACAGAGAACCAGGATGTCAACAGGTTGCTCTTCTCATTTAGGAGAAGACTGGTGGATAATGTGTTGGGATGTGGCTCTCTAGGCCCACTCTTACATAGTCTGACCCAATCTCTATGGGGTACAGTTGTAATGAGCACCTAGGAGGAGCCGATGTAGATGGCCCATGGGCCCCACTTTGAGACAGTACCCGGTGACTGATGGAGTGACACTCCCAGGAGTCCAGCATGACTGACCTTGTAGGACAATTCTTCCTCACCCCTCATTTCATCAAATCACAACCCAGGCCCACACAAACTTGCTCACTGTGGCACTGTGACTCCCATCACCCATGAACTTCCTAGTAAATGCTACTCCTGTCAAAGCCCAATTTTATTTCAATGCAATTCTGACAACAAGAAATGTTTTCCCGCATTTATACGGGAATAAAGAATGTGTCCTCAGGTCAAATACACTGCCAGAACTGGCAAAAAGAAAACCAAAGAGGGAGAAGTTGGTGTGGAGAGGGTGAGACAGCTGCCAATGCAGTGTCTTCTTACTTGGACTATCGGAAGAAGGTGGGCAGCTGCAGGATTGGGCTTGCTGAGTAACCACTCGTGGCCTTCTGTCCTCTTCTCCTCCTACCTCACCCCTCATTCGATGATGCCTAACGTTTCAGAAACAGAGCCGGGAAAAGGTGTTCATTTTACAGAAAAGCACCACAGGCTTTAAGTGAAAAGGCATGGCGGAGACCGTATCTATAACTACAAATAAAAAATGACCTATATGTCCCACTTGGAAAGGAGGACAGAAGTAAAAAGAGGGCCAATGCTTGGTTTATAAAGAGTAAAAGTAGTCATCACTCCAGAGAAAGTACAGAGATGAAATTATGCCTGGCTTTATGAAGGCAGTCCACAAGCTTCCAAATTTTTCCTGGGCTTCAGTTGAATCTCCAGACTCGATGAGGTCTGGGTATTGTAAGAGTGACAGATCTTGTATGCGATTTATGAAGATCTGTTCTTTTCAACATGGTTTTACTCACCCAAAAAGGTTCAGCCTGGACAACTGCTAATCAAGATTTTACCCTATAAAAGACCTAAAGAAGGAAGCAAATATTTTAGAATGACATCTGTAATAGGCTTATTTTAACAGCTATGATTTCCATTCAGCAATCTAGATAGAAGAAGAAAAATATGAGAGAGATCAAATCATATGATAATGAAAAGAAACTCCTCATTCATCACTTTTAGTGATTTCAGATAAACAAAAACAAAAACAAAAGCAAAGTACCACCAGAAGAACCAGAGACAGGAAAGTAGGAAACGCAGAATTCTCTTTTAGAAGGAAGAGAAGAATAGATAATGGTAGATAAGGACCACAAAGTTTTATGTTAATATTTTTCTATAATATCTTTGTCTATGCACCTACACAAAGAAAACTATGCTGAATAAATTTCAAATGTATCCCTTAAACTTATCCTTCTTTTTAGCCCATCGAAGGACTAAGAGTAACTGAAGAAAATGAGACATTCTGTTTCTTTTGGGGGAAAGTCCAATTATGAGAAAATAACCAAAAGACATATGGAATTACATTAGACAAAGAGTAGGTGACAAATAGTAGGATAGCCATCTTTGTCCAAAAGTAAAGTTTTATTCTGGCAAAGGAATGTGTGATTTCCAGATAATGAAAATATGTTCCCTGCAAGGACCAATCTTTATACGACCAATTTAGAATAAAGTCCTTTTTAAATGAATTACACTGTTTTTTTCCATAAGTAGACTGAATTTTTACTTGGTGTCTTGTGTCATCCTGGAAAAATGACTGCTGAAATGTGCCTATACAAGGCCACCTCCTAAGATAATCAAGTGCCCATGCAATGGCCCAGCAGCCTGTACTTAGCTGGCTCTGCTTTTTATATTTTCTCTTTCTCCCTAAGATGCGAGGTTGTGATCATTCTCAGTAGTGCCAGCATGCTTGCCTTAAGTAGAACCTCCTTACAATGATTTCTAGCTTCTCTACAGGAGGAAAAAAACAGGTATTTAGGTTGATTTAAAGGGCTCCTCAAATTAGAATAGTAAGATTGAGTTTAGTTCTATCTAAATGAAAGGAGTTCTTGAACTTGAAGGTGGGAATTTTAATTGCCATAAGGCTTCTCCCCAGGTTCTAACTCTCACATACTTTGGGGAGTGGAGCTGTGCCTGGGAGACTGGGGATGGGGAACAAGAGGCTAATTTATGGGAGACAACAAAGCTGAGTTTTTAAGATTATCACTTTTGAAGATATTGCATACCTGGTTATGTTGCATACCCCAACCTGTGGCTTCCATAGTTTGTCCACAAGGACAGAAAGGAATTCTGGAATGAATGTAAAAACCTGAAATTCAAGCTTATCGAGGTAAAGAAATGTGATACCATTAATTGAAATGTCAGAGCCGGCAGTGTCCAGAGATCCACCAACAGCAGAAGCAGCAAAGCTTTCTGTGAGGATTATGACTCTGAGGTTATGCCCTAGTTGAAACTGTTCTCTTGGTCCCAACAAAAAAATAAAACAAACAAAACATCTTTAATTCTTAAAGTATAAACTGAAAAAGATCCTTATGTAAAAATTAACTTATAAAAAAGAAAGGTGTCTGTCACCGAAAGAGAAGCCCCTCCCCCCGCAAAAATCAAAATGAATATAGAGAGAATTTGAGGCTTTGCAAATAAATAGCCTAAGTGGTAAAAGTGTTATTTGGTTTTAGGAC